AAAGACTCCTCTCTATTTTTGTTATGTGGTTTATTTAACCTTCTGTATCTTAAAGATATCTTCAAAGATCTTAATTTTTTTTTGAAATTCAAATTTCCTTGGGTTCCGTTTCCTTCCTAAAAAGAAGCCGTACCGTTGTATCAATCAATCGCGTCTGCATGATATTTGACAAGCCACATTGATTAGGGTTCATCACCCTTAAGTCTATTTAATACCGGGCCAAGAAGAAATTTCTTCAAGCATCTCAGCACTCAACCCTTCTCTCTCTCAGCACACCTGCCTTCCGTGATTTGTTCTTCTCCTCCCACAAAATTTTTTTTTCAATGGCGGACCCTGTAAGAAATATCATCATCAAACTCGGAAGCAAGACACATTCTCCAGAGGTGGCTCTTAAGCATATTCAGACATTATTGCAGTTTGCTATGAAGAAGAAACTCAAGCTTGATCCTCTGCTTCGCGGCGAGATTTTTGTGACTGTTATGACGAACTACCCAGAATTTTATGCTGAATGGTCTGAAGATGATGCGACTGAACTGCTGATGATGGTTTCCGAAGCCAGTGATGAAGTTTCTCCAGTATCTATTCCAGAACCCTCGGATGGAAATCGGGCCGGGGCATTCCTTCGATACTTTGCACAACGAGCCCTAGAATCTGTTGAGGTCTCTCGACGGCGAGCGGAGTCCCAGCCTTTGTATCTCGAAGCTGCTCAAAAAGAGGCAAGACACAGACAGGAGATCCTCCGAAAAAGGTCAAACAATTCTGATACTCCTATTGAAATTTCACCGGATAAACCTGATATTTTTGCTACCCCATCTTGTATGCCTGTTAATACTGATAATTTATCTGCTTTGGATTCTGAGAAACCCCCTGTGAATGTTGATCCTACATCCTTGCCGTTGAGTGAGTCTGTTGATGTGAAAAATGATGTGTCTGATGAGAAAGAAAAATCCTCTGATGAGCCAAATAAACTAAGTTTAGTTGTTTACTCTCCTAATAATCTTGCTCTGCCTCCTGCTAAGATTGCTGATGATCCTAAAAAAGTTTGCTCTGCTGATGACACTCCTGTTCTACCTGCTAATCTTGAAACTGTCGATCTATCAAGCCCCCATAAGTCTGAGAAAACTGGTGGAATCCCAGTCTACACTGCCACATCGTTAGGTGAAAGTCTGGAACAGGTGCAACACTTTGCTGGCCTACCATCTGCTTCAATTCCTCAACCGTATCGAGTGATTCATCCATTTGAATCCTCCAGCGAAGATGATAAAATTCTGGCTGAAGTGTATGGATCTCAAGAACTACCATCTGAAATTCCAACTGTTGAGTCCACTGCCCATCCTGACTCCACGACCTTCAAAATTCGAGAAATCTCGAATATTATTGGGAACTCTTCTGCCAATGTCTCTGATTCCAGTCACTCTTTGACTCCTGTTCAATCCCAACCAAAGAAACAAGACGGTCTAAAAGGAAGAATGTTCCAGTAAAGGTAGTTGTTGAGACCGGTGATGACAGTGCTGATGTGGATTAGCCTGAGAAAAGAAGGAAGTCAAGTGAGACTGTCAAGTCTGAAGGAAATCCGCCTATTCAGCAAGTGTTCAAGACACTACGATCGTCTGTTAAGCAAAAGGGCCCTACTGCTGTTCAAGCTACTTCTGTACCTGCACCATCTGCCAGAAAAGGGAAGCCATCCACACGATCAAGAGGTCGAAGCATTACTCCTGAGGTTCAACCTGTTGAAGAAACTGACCCATCTGTTTACAGGCCTCAGTTTGTATCTTCTGCTGCTCAGGCCAAATGGTCTACTATGGTCAGAAGGGACCTTATTGTTCAACGATCTGTGGATGAGAACCAGCTGAACTCTGTATGTGACATTCTACCTCTGCTGAATGAAGTCGGATTGCTGAAGACTGTTACGGACATCTGCCCATACTCTAAGCTTCTCACGTATGAATTCTATTGCAATCTCAATGACGAGATTGACAACTTAACCGGACCTCGACCGATGCAGATCTTCATCAGAGGAAGGTGGTACGTTTTTGGGCCGGACATGATCAATGAATACTATGATTCGGCTGCTGTACAAGAAAAGGCTGTCACTGACTGGAACTTGGTGGCCAAAACTCTTACTGGTGGACAGACAGAAACTTGGCCTACAGGTGACAAGGACTATCTGCAGAGCTCGCAACTCACATCCAGATATGTGATTTTACATCGCCTGGCCCTTCACAACTGGCTCCCATCAGCCCATTTCCACACGGTTGGCAAGCTTCTGGCAGGCTTCTTATTTCGAATTGGAACGAAGATGCAAATTGATCCGGGAAAATGGATTTACTATCATATCCTTACATTAACTCATCCACGGGAGCAGAAGGTAAGACTACCCTTCCCAAATCTGATTTATGGAATTCTTACAACTCAGGGACTTGAGCCTATGCCCAGTGAAGTGATCAGTCCAACGCTGCTCTATACTGTTGATAAACGTCTGCTGACTGGAGATCACATTCGGGATGTTGTTCCGGTGACTGCCCCATCCAATTCTGAACCTGATGCTGTGCCTAACGACTCTCCTCATGCTAAGGATGTTCAACTTTCCATTCAGTTGAAGGCAAGGGTCGCTGATCTTGAGACTGTTCACAGCATTGTTGCAAAGCAACTGACAGGGGCCCGTACTGAGCTGGCAACCGTTCTTCTTCGTTTAAGCCTATCTGAGTCTGCTGCTGCTGTTGATACTGTGAAGTCTGACAGTGACACTCCCTCCAATGCTTGACCTTTGGCTATCATTGGCAAAAAGGGGGAGTAGTATAAACTCAGGGGGAGTTTTTTTTGTGTTTGTGTACCTTCTGGCCCTGGCTGGGCGTTGTTTTTGATGGAACCACTACTTGTTCTGTTTTAGACTGTTTTGGATCTTTTGCTTTTGTTTAGGTTCTATGTAATCTATTTGGACTCATGGGTTGCTTCTTTATAATAACCTATCTTAGTTCTTTATGTTTTGTCTATTTATATAGTCGAGTTGTTTTGCCAAATAATAGCCAAAGGGGGAGTTTGTTAGTGTTTTTAAATGTACAAAAACCCCATATTATAATTGGCAATATTATTATGGCATACTAAGATAGGTTTAGAGTTTGTCCGTCCAGCCCTACAGATGACTGATCAATCAGAAGCAACAACAGAAGGACTGACACTGAAGATCTGTTTTAGGAAGCTGATGTCTAAAAGTCTGTACACGGTATTATCAGACCAGTTTGGAAAGAATATCAGCGTATTCTTTCAAGAAAGGTATGGACCTAATCTTCTGAGATTACATTCCTCTTATATAGTCCTACCTTCTACAGTCAAAGCCATCTATGAAGAGTGTTTATTGAAGAATCTATAAGTACTCTTATTCGAAGAGAATTAGGGTTACGCCAAACAGTAAGAAGAAATACTCCATATACGCTATGTGAGACGAGATCTTTGATTGTCATTCATCTTCTCAACAAAATATGTTCATGGTGATTAAGATAATGAACTTGAGAAGAATCACTGCTGCTTAAACGAAAGGACACTGTGATCACACTGTTGTGGGAACAACTGCAAAGAGCGTCATTGAAGTGGACTGCATCAGAGTGGGCTCTCCAAGTGAAGGGATTTCATTGGACTTCTGTATGCATGGCTCTCCATCTTCAACAATCCACTAAACCTGTGTAGACTGGGTATGTACCTTGTGTGAGGCACTTGGGTAAGATTGTTGTATATCTACCTTTGTACATTGGATTATGATTTAGTGGATTGGACGCCTATGTGATCGTCCCCCAGACGTAGATACACACTGTATCGAACTGGGTAAATATTCTGTGTCATTGAGTTTGTGTTGTTATCTTTCTCGTTTATGTTCTCCATGATTTATTATTACTGACTGACTTCGTAACTGAATCAATCAGTAATCTCTGACAGTTGATTATTCCTGTTAATCTGTCTAAAGAGAGAAAATGCAAAATTACATATTAAAATATTTATCTTAATGGGGAATTGGGGACTCATAATTAATTAATGAGCCCCACCAAATAAATATTCTAACATTCTCCGACTTGGTTTATGGTCATAAATTTAACAATAAACATAAAACATAATATGCATAGTATAAGTTAATTCCTCCATTATATTGGTCAAAGTATAAGTCATCATTAAGTTAGAAACTAATAAGAATCATGGCGGTAATATGTCACTAATTTAGCATAGTCCATTCCATGTATCACAATATTATTAGTTTCAAACTCAATATGATTCATAATGATATTTTCCATGATCGTCCACGATAATGTCTTTGTCAAAGACAAATCCTATTTATATTGACATAAACATTCATGTATATATATAGTTCAAAAACTAAACATAATACTTAATACAAAAACGAAATTAAATTGAGCCTGAGTATCAAATATATCAAGAACACAAATCTTAACATAATGTTAACAGTTTTCAATAATGCCATTATATTTCAACATGCTCATGAAATGCCTTTGGTGGCAAGACTTTAGTTAATGGGTCTGCAATCATTAATCTAGTGCTAATGTGTTCAATTGATACTCTTCGTTCCTGAACATCTTCTTTAATGGCAAGATACTTCAAATCAATATGTTTAGCACCACTTGTATACTTGTTGTTCTTAGAAAAGAAGACGGTTGAAACATTATCAGAATAAATTTTCTGTGGCTTGACAATACTGTCGACAATTTCAAGTCCCAAAATAAAATTTCGCAGCCATAATCCATGATTTGTGGCCACAAAACATGCCACAAAACTCAACTTCCATAGTGGACGCAACAATGACAGTCTGCTTCGCACTTTTCCAAGAGATAGCTCCCTCGCCCCAAAGAAATAAATATCCAAATGTAGACTTTAATTTCTTGTGTCCAAACACCCGGAAAAGTAGAACATAGCAATGAACATAGTAAGTTCGAATTGCAAAGGTATAGAGAAAATAGCAATGAATTACAAACGTGATAATATAGTAGTGAGATCACTTTTAAAAATGAGATAATATTGCAAAAATGCAAATAGCATTACATAATATCAAATAGAATACGAGACTACATCCTATATAATAAGTACAACTATTAGAAAATTAAATATATTTGTTGACCACATATAATTGATCCTCAATTGATTCAAAGTAAGTACTAAACTCCCATCTTGTAATCAATTCAACGACCTTCAGAGATAATGGGGTTCATAACTGAAGTACGACGTGAGCCTATCTTCCCTCCGGAAAATGAAAGTGACGAAACAAAATCATCAAAACCTTCACTTCGAGAAATAGTGAGGCCAGCTAGGGAGAGAGTGAGTATTGACAACTCTGGTAGAGCAACAGAGCCCTCCAGGTATCGAACAACTTGTCGAATGGTTGGCCTGAATTCTGTATCTAGCAGAGAACACAACAATCCAAGCTTTAAAACAATATCTACTTCTTCAGCAACATAATCTTCTCCAAGTTTAGGATCAACAGTCTGCAATATTTCACCTCTACTCCACGACGAAAACACCCACTCCACCAAAATAAAAACCTCATTTGGAACTTTTTGCTCTATCGGCCTTCTGCCACATGCAACTTCAAGTAAGAATGCTCCAAAAGCAAACATATCAGAACTTGGTGTAGCCTTGCCTGTTCTAATATGTTCCGGGGCAAGGTAGCCATGAGTTCCTACTACATGTGTAGTTTGAGGATCAGTTCCATGATCATACAATCTAGCTAGACCAAAATCTCCTAGTCTTGCATTCCACTCACTATCTAGTAAAACATTACTAGACTTTATATCTCTGTGAACCACTACTTGCTCCCATTCTTCATGTATATAGAATAGAGCTGATGCCACTCCTTTGATTACTTGAAATCTTTGGTCCCAACTGAGGGTGCGTATTGGTTTGTCAAACAAATATCTGTCAAGACTTCCATTAGGCATGTACTCATAAACCAAAAGCAACTCTCTTTTACGTCTGCAATACCCGAGAAGAGGAACTAAATTCCTGTGACACAACCGACCCATACTAACAACTTCAGCTATGAAGGCTTTCATTCCTTGGGTTGATTGATGGTAAATTTTCTTCACAGCAATCTCACCTTGGGACTTAGGCAACACGCCTCTATAAACACTCCCAAAACCGCCTGCCCCCAATATTTCTTTCTCTGAAAACCCCTTGGTAGCAAAGTACAATTCTTTGTACGTGAACCTGTGAGGTCCATAGTCGAGTTCCCAGTCCTCAACCAACTCTGCAAACTTCCTCTTCCTGTATACATAATAGCCCACTCCAGACACAATACCAACAAGAAAAAATATTACAATCACAGGCACGCCAAACTCTTGAAACTTTGATTTTCTCTTTGGCCCCACTCGTGGAAGCCTTGGAAGTTTAGAGGGATCTAGTTCTTGAGCAATGCCATTCATTTTGAAGCTCCACCCTAGAACATATTGGGATGATACAGCTGAACCAGTGGCCGATGTGAAGCCAACCGACACGGTTTCTAGTACGTCCACAGAAATATCATGGCGAAAAGACAAAAGAGGCTTACTTGGTTTACCCACACTGAGAGGAGCCACAGTGACATTCATTTGCTTAGCTCTGCCATCATATTCTACCCAAACTTGTATTGGCTTGCCGCTTCCAAGACTAACGTTATTAAATTGGTTGCCCTGATAGTACCCTGCTGGTTTTGCTAAAGCTGATCTCAAGCCGTTGATATCAATTCCGACATGGTTGTCATTGATATCATCGAACTGAGGATTCTGGAAGGTATCAAACTCCACTGCCACCACATGGTTGGTAGCATTGCCATAAGAGTTGGTTTCATTGAAAAGGTCAAAATAAGGGTACGAAAATGCTCCAGGAAGACCTCCTGGTTGTGTAATCGCAAAGGTAAGGCCATGGGTGTACAAAGTGGGAAACTGGGGCACCATAGCATAGACAAAGGTGGTGGAGAAGGAGAAAGCTGAGCCGTTGGGTGAATTCTTGAAATTGATTGGCATGGGGTAAAAGGCACGGCCTTTCACCAATTTGGTTTCATTTGTTAACCTGAGTAAGCCATTGGAAGTGATCTGGGCTACACCGTCGAGGCTTAGATTGGCCGTCCTAAATCCATTGTATGTGAATTCGTTCTCCCCAGAAGTTGCATAGCATAGTTGAGCAGCAGCGATGGCTACCAGCATTACAAGCTTGAGGAACATCGTTTCTTTACGTTGCAGTATCAAAGAAAAACTTCTCGATCAAACACTATACAAATGCTAGTGTTCTTTGGCTACCAATAACATTAATTGCTAGAAACCGTACTACATACTGTCCCAGCATTTATGTTTGACATTATTACCAATACGATTTCTACCAACCAGTGAATTGTATATATATGAGAGATTAAATTCGGAATTAATTGATGAATCATGACAATTGACTGCAACCTGACTAAGTCCTAAGGCAATAGTTATTGGGCTGTGTGAACCACGGTCCAAAAGCTATCGGTTTTGCTCAATTTTATTTTTTTCGCGAGCCTAACTGCAATATATATTTTTATAACTCATAATGTACATTATTCTAAAACAAAATGCACATTATTCTAAAGCATAATGTACATTATTTTAAAACATAATGTATATTATATTATATCCCAGATGTTTTATTATTCTAACACGTAATGTACATTATTTTAACACATAATATACATTATTCTAACACGTAATGTACATTATTCTAAAATATAGTGTACATTATTCTAATACATAATGTACATTATTTTACTCATAATATTCAAGACGATATTTTGGACTATGGTCCACATAGCACACAGCTGTGTGGACCGTAATTTGCCCTCCTTAAGTATGTTGAGCATATAGCCATTAATGTGCAATCCAACTATCAACTTAGGTTTTTAGTTAAGATGGAGCACATGCTTCAACTTGGTATCAGAGCTATGCCAAAGGTCAACTATTAGCTTAGCACATGCTTAGCTTAGGCTTTTAATTGAGATAATTGAGCACATGCTTCAATTAGGTAGCTAGGCCACTTAATTGACGTGCTCCATGCTTACACAAAAATAACAATTGTTATATTGTGGATCACGATCCATCGTGCCCATGATAGACCCTATTCAAATTATGAAATTTAGTTAACCTATAATATACATTTAACATATTATATATATGTATTTAATGAATTATGTACATATTATAATTAAGGTATTATGTATATGTAGTTTACATTTTATTTACATTCAATTAATAAATTATGTACATATTATAATTAATATATTATATACCTTCAATTTATTTACATGTACATGCTAGAGTCATCAATTTATTTAAAGCTACAAACCAGGTCCGCAATACAATGTAAATCCTAGTCCATGCTATAATTTGACTTACAATAATGCATTGGCTCTTAGATTAAGATTATCAATGCTGGTGACCCTTGTCTTCCAAACTTAACTATACAGGTACGAAAATGAAAAAAGAAAAGCAAAAGTACAATAAAATTACAATTTTTAACAACATATAAAAAAATTTGAGGAACGTATAAATATTTTAAAAAAATACAAATATGTTTGTAATTTCTAATTGTCCAATATTTCATTAACATCTGCATCAGAGAACATGAATTCTAGATCCATTCATCCAAAGATTGGTTGGCGAAAAAATTCCAAAAATATTGTAATTAGGCCCTAGCTTGAAATTTGAAAATCAAACATGTTTCCTTATTCCTTACTTTTTTATTAAAAAATAATCTATATATATATAAAAATAAAATCCTCCTATAGGTTTTTCCCGCCCACACTTATTGGTCAAATTAATAATAAATCTTATTTGGTAAGTAAATGTGTAATGAAAATTAAGTAAAATTTATTAATTGGTAATATTACATAATTATGATATGGTATCTCCATATTTTTGGTCAAATTAGAACACAATTCGTAGCAGAAGATGGCATAATTAACTTACCGTAATATTGCATTAGTACGGTAGAATAAGAAAAACAATTCGTATTAGAAGATTGCATTGCATAATTAACTTATGGTAATATTGTATTAGTATGGTATAATAATATTAAATTAGAGTGCTCCGCGTCATTTATGAATATCATTGCTATTCGGTGTAAGCCATTAGGATCCCAACGCCAGTACTATAAAATGATAGCCGAATTTGGGCTTGCCTTACCCTGCGCACTACTCGAGAGATTCAAGAATCATATTCTCTCTTTAAGGTTTTCTCAAGAATGACGGATCGCAGTTCCCAATCTTGAAGAGATCAGAGCGTCTCGGTGGCCGTTAACATTTCCTTTGGTCTGTATTCTCTTCCAGTTTTCTTTTCAATTTTTGAGTTTTCCACCTGCACGTGTATTCTTATCAATGCGTCTTCCCTGTGCAAAAATTTGAAATCCGAATAGAAACTGCACTAGAACGTTGGACAAAGCTTATGTATCCAACTTGGGTGATGAAGTTTCGAACAAAGATATCTTTGTATATTCTCTCACATGTATTTTTTTTTTTTCAATTCTTATTTCAAATTTATTCATACAGATAATCTGGTTTTGTGCATGCAGGAACTGTTTTCATAGATTGGTTCTTTGAATTTATCCACGCTCAAGTATAACAGGATTGTCAAACCAATGATAATTTATATATATATATATATATATATATATATATATATATATATATATATATATATATATATAGTTTCAAACTAACCTGTTTGTTCAATCAGTTGTGATTAATACGTGTGATTATTGTTGCAGGGAATTGCATGCAAAAGTGGTTTTTTATAGCCACTCAGACGATATGAAAGCACTAAGAAATTATCAGAATCTCCCTTAATGAATTACCTTCTCTACTGTGTACAGGACACAAATTTTTATAATTTATTGAACCAAAACATAAGATACTTAATGAATCATTTTATATTTTGTGTTTGTTAGGTGTTGTTTTTAATATTTATTTTTAATTCATAGCATGCACACAGTTCACTTACCATGAACTAATGTTTGTATTTTTTTATTTTTTTTTTTGTGTAAACTGATATTTGTATTCTGATTGTAACACTTATTATATTTTTTTAATGCACGGTTCACCTAGCTTTCCACTCTTAATTTTTCTACATTGTATTAAAACAACTTAAATACTTACAAACAATGAATATAATCTAACTGACAATCAAATGTCAACACATAAAGGAGTTGAGGTGTTTTATCACATACCTGTAATGCTCTTTAGTACGAAATAATGTGTAATGAAGCTTTAGTATTGATATGATACTAAAATCTATCTGTATACAGTAATTAAAAACAGTTTAGTCTCACAGTATGATTATTGTGAACTTATCTACTATTCTTATTATAAAATCCTTCTATATAATAAAGTCATAGAGTCATGGCCAATACTACGTTGTTTAGCACATATGGTGGTTAAATTTCATTTTTTTTTTGGATTTTAATTCCTTTGTGTATTACCGAGAAGTTATTTCGTATATCAAGATCAAATTTGTACATAATGTGAAGCTATTAGTATAAATAAATAAAAAAAAAATAATGATTTTTTTAAAAGAAGAATCAAATAACAAGTACAATTTTAGATTTTGTGTTACTCCATTCACATATTAGTATAAATAAAATAAAAAAGTAATAAAATAAAATACAAAGGAAATAAAAAATTTTAACCAAAAATTACTTTTAGTCACAAAGTAATTGAACCCCAAAATGCACTTGCTCCTTCTGAATGTAATGCAGTTTCATAGCGGTCCACTTCTCCTTGGGGGCCATTTCAGGTTGTGTAAATAAATGATGTGTGTGGGAGCCATTCAAAATATATTTAATTAAAGAAACCTCCCAAAAAATCCACGTTGTACTGAACCCAAATAAAAAAATGTTAACAATGGCACAATCATAAGGATCAAAGGGAACAATGGAAGACCCAGAAATCCAGACATCATTGATGTATCGAACGGTGATGAGAGACTCATAAATAGGAATATCATTATGAATGAAAATGGTGATTTTCTTGACAACCGAGTTTAGTTTAAGGATAAGTTTACTCTTGAATACAAATGTCTCCTCAATGGATTGTGTATGGTCATATAGAGTGTATTTATACACCATGGATGAGTTCAAAATGGCACAATATTGAAATTATAAAATGGTAAGAGATCTCAAGAAAGGTAAAACTTTCAAATTTTCAATTAATACAAAAAATGTTATAATCCCCGAAAATATATATCTTTAAATTTAGACAAAAATTAAAAATGAAATCAAAAAACAATTTTAATAATTGACTATTTCATTTGTATGTTTCTAGAAAAAGGATGGGCATGACCAGGTTGACTCATCGAGAAATATAGTAATTAATTAATAAATTACCATTAAAATTAGTATAGTAATTAAAGAATTACCATTTGTATGTTGACATTTTCCCCCGTATATTACCATTTCCCCACTGTATATTACCATTCAAATTACAAAATGTCATTCAAATGTTTGATACCAAAAAATATACTATATAAACACGAAATATATATATTGTGCCAAAAAATATAAATTTCTACATACATACATACATACACTTTTTAAATTTCTAAATATAAATTTTTAAAGTATAAATCTATCAATATAAATTATAATTAATGAAATTATATATAATTATGAATTTTCCTATATACATATTAATAAATATTATGTGTATATACAATGTATTATACAATCATATAAGGATATGCATTCGATTAGAGTTTTTATTTATTCATACAAAATTTAGAATTTATATTTTTTATTAATTTCTAAGTACAATTGTCTTAGTTATTATTATTCATATTTTTAGAATTATAATATATATGAAATACAATTTGGAATAAATCAACTTAATTATATGAATTTTTTCTATAAATTTATCTAAATATATAAATGATTAGATATTATATTAACCATACAAAATTTTAATTTTAATTTTGTATGTTATGAAAATAGATACTTGACCAAATATATAAAAGTCTAACTATATTATTATATTGTACATTTTTAACATCTTTTTATTTTTTCTATTTTTATTTCAAATCTTATCTTATCTTATTACTCTATATAATAGCAAAATGTTTTTTGCCACATCAGTTTCCCGCCTAAATGAAATTACATCAATTTAAGGTATTAAATACCAATTAAATACCAATGTGAAATTTATTGTGAAAGTTACTAAATCAGTTGCATGAACAATAATATTGGAGAGACGAATAAGTTT